AGAAAACGGAAGCTAGGCAGACGTGCGTTTGGTAGACTTCTAGTCTAGCGTGTGTAGACAACACAGCGCTCACCTGTTGCTTGACAGTGATAAAAAGTGTATTTAAACGTAATACTGCGATTCCTTGCATGAACTGCAGTGTCTAACACAGTAACTCATCATACATCAATGGTAGACAATATCGACAAGTTGAAGAATTAGACACATGTACAACAAATGGGCATCTTTGTTATATAGACGATTTGCCAACAAGTGTCTTTATCAGTGCAATATAAGGACTAAAACGAAAGACTGGAATGGCAGAAAATGAGATAATCACTCCCTCACACCTGTCACAACTACAGTATCGAACACCTGCTGCTAAGCTTAGCGACTGATTAACTCATCTTCCACCTCATTCTTTGGTTTTTAATGGAAAAATTAAAAACAAATGTTGTATAATGCGATCCTTTATTGATTATGTTTCAACCATACAGTGGGTTTTATCAAGTCACAAACAGATCTGTTTGTGACTTGATAAGCCCACTGTGTAGGCGAAATGTAGTCAATAAAGGCTCACATTATACTGCACTTGTGTTTAATGTTTCCACATGATGAAGATACCCAGTTATTGCACACGTGTCTAGTTATTCAACAATAATTCATCAACTACGAGCGAATACAAACGAGAGTATTAATACCACAGAGAGCAGCAGTGAGGCGCCATTGTTTTGATGCTATTAGGCTACGCTGTTGCATTTACACCTGTTTCAACTCCTCGTTGCAGACTTCGGGTAAAGCTCATCTTCCCACTGTATTTTCCTAAAGCTAACATACATGGAGTTTGCAATAACATAGTTTGGCAACAGAACCCTCAATCTTGAACACATTTCGGAAACGCTGAAGAAGAAAAACGAATATTTGACCTATGTGTCTTATTTTTGCATTTCATGAATTGGTAGGCCCGTGTGGATCCTTCAGTGTGGGGCATGGTGGAAACTCATTTTCCGCGGGTTTTCTTTGATTAATAAGACTGTTGGTGACTAATAATTCTGACACGACCTGGAGGCTGTAGACGACTTTTAGTTATGAAACTCATAACCTAAAGTCAACCACTGACATAACCCAGAGACTGCAGTCAACCTTTGATTCGACTCAGAGACTGCGGTCCACCTTTGGCACAATCCAGAGGCTGTAGTCGACGTTTGACACAACCCAGAAGCTGTTGTTAATCTTTGCCATAACCGAGAAACTGCAGTCGACCCATGACAATTTAGAGGTTGCAGTGGACATCAGACACAACCCAGAGGCTGCAGTCGACCTCTGACACAACCCAGAGGCTGCTGTCAACCTTTTGACACAACCCAGAGGCTGCAGTCGACTTTTGACACAACCCAGAGGCTGCAGTTACCTTTGACACAACCCAGAGGCTGCAGTCGACTTTTGACACAACCTAGAGGTTGTAATCGACCTATAAAAATATATTCACGACCTGAAGTCGACCTCTGATATGACTTTCAGTTAACCTATGAATGTTGAGTGCCGGCACCTGCTGCCACTCGAAGTCCTGTGGGCGCAAGGTAAACATTACAGGTCAGTAAATACAGGCCACAGGTTGCAAAACAAGCTTGTAATGGGACAACGTTTCAATGTTAGATCTTTATCACTGCTTCAACAGAGCGAAACTTTGTCAAAAGAAAAAGATTGCTCTAAAACACGTTTTAGTTCAGCGTGGGAATAAGACATATTTACAATCAAGACACTTTTCGTCACCTGTGGGTTTAGGACTGATAAAGCCACAAGTAGCTTGATTGTGCATGTTTGCGTCTTAATCCCACAATCTGGCAGTATTAACATACCTGCATTTGTAAGGTTGTTCAAGTGTTGGTAATGCACTATTTAGATTCACTACAGGTGAAGGCACTTGCTACGACAGCTGAGCCTCACTCGTTTCTGTCAGTGAATTACTATATATCCACTATACAAGTGAGGCCACTAGCCTACGACAGCAATTGGTTCACTCGTCTTTACCAGGTAACTAGATTCATTACAGGTAAACACTCAGCTACAGCACCAGCTCCACTCGTCTCTGCCAGTGAGTGAATTACATGCACTACAAGTGAAGGCACTCGGCTATGACAGCACCAACTTCACTCGCCACTGCCACCGAGTGAATTATTTACACAGTTCAGTTCAGTCAGGGGTGGAGCAACAACACACTGCCGGGTGGAGCGACCTCCACCACGTTGCTTATACGCCAGTACATAACACTATATCAGTTCTCAACACAGTACACCATTACACACATGTACACTAACTGCACATCAGAGACGTAAACATGCACATTTAAAAAATCGCCTTCCTCAAATCATAAGCTAAAAAAAACAACAGGGTTGCAAAATGTATCTACTAAAAAAGGAAAACAAGCGTCTGATAGTTCCTCATAATAGAATAATGCAAATCTTCATAACATTGTAGGCATAGAAGTTAAATTCTTCGAGTGGATCAGAACTTAAACTATAACAAAGGGTAACTTTTTAAAAGGGAGGTTGTTCAAATAGTTTTTTTAATTTATGAAAACGATCTGCCTAAATGTGTAATATACCACATGACTGTCCCTGGAAATGATGAAGTCACTGAGGGCAGGAGGGTGGGTGGGTGAAGGAAGTGGCATCAGTGGGGTTAAAGAAATTGAGGAGGGTAGAAACTGCAGCATCAGTGGAAGTGGCAAGGTGTGCTTCATCTGTCCATCTCCATGGTCACAACCACCCCACAAGTACTCAAACGTGACTGGTGAATACCGTGGAGTTGTGCCTCTCCCGTAATGATGTCAGGCTGAGAGAGAGGGAGGGGAGAGAGAGAGAGTTTACACGTTTCAGTCAGGGTAATAACATCATGATTCTCAGAATAGGCTCAGTCATTTCGTTTCTTTTAAGCATGATGTTTAAATCACAGGCATTTCGAATTTAAATGTCCTCATAAAAATGCCTCGTGTCACCTCAAAAGCTGACTGGGTAGCCAACTTTTGAGATGATATTAGGCTCTCTGATAGTGCAAAAGCTGGCTGGGCAGCCAGCTTTTGCATTATCGTTCCAAGGAGCGCATATTCAATGTCTTCAGTCTATCTTCGCTAGAAGGACTTCTTAACCGTAGGATCAACTTCAACATCCTTCTCTGTATATTCTTCAGCGAATTTATGTCCGTGCTATAACATGGAGACCACAAATGAGTAGCATAATGTAAATGGCAGCACTGTTTGACCTTTCAGGTTTAGCGCTTGTCACTATTTTATTATAAGATAAATGAGGCTTTGTCAAAGATATTTAAAGATGAAGTATAACCTGACGACTTCTATTAATTATAATTCTCGATATAAAGCCAGAATTCTATTAGCTTTATTGCAAACACGAATGCACTGTCTTGGTTTTAGAGAACTGCTAACCACAACTCCTAAATAATTTTTGCATTTAAGATCGACATAATTTAGTTTATAAGTACCATGGATATTTTCTTTTCCCTCACATTTGTCCGAATTGAATTGCATCTACCACTACTCTGACTACATCATCAACCTATCCAGGTGATCATGTAACCGTCTAGTGTTCACCTCAAATTATCTTGCGGCCTATTTACATGTCATCGGCAAACTTATTTATTTCCACATCGATGTTGTTTATATAGACTGTGAACAACAATAGTCCCAATATTGACTTATGTGGCACACCACTTATAACTGGTCCCCATTCTGATTTCTCTCCATTTATGCACATTCTTGCCTACACTTCTAATGGGGCCCCATTCTGATTTTTTCCCATTAATGCATACTTTCTGTTGCCTATCTGCCAGCCATGACTCGATCAAGATTTTTCCTACTATACTATGTGCCAATATTTTCTTCAGTTTCCTGTGTAAAGTTTTCCAAAGCTTTAATGAGATCCATTAAACAGAGTATATTCGACATTGTATCTTTGTCTACAGCCTAAAATACCTTTGTAAAAAAAAAGAGGTAATAAATTCAAGGCATGAATGTCCCTTTGTAAAATCGTGCTGAGATTCAATGATCAAACTACGTTTTGTTAAGGTGACTTTGAATAATATCCGTATTATGTATGTCATAGTTTTCCCATTATTGACATTAGGCTGATTGGTCTATAAACCACGGAACGGGTGGAGTTCAAATCCATGGCAAGTGCGAACTAAAATTCATGGATTCAAACCACACCCGTTCTTTGGTTTGCTATTGTGTTATTACGATTTCGTGAGTCCTGATTGGACTAACATAATTGAGGCTAATGACTTATTTCTCACCTTGTAAATGGGCATCACATTTGCCACTACACTTAACTAGGACAATATCCGACACGACATACTCCCTACGATATGTAATATGTGTAGATACAATGAGCTTTCTTTAATTACTGTTTTAAGAATTAAAGTAATGCCGACTGGCGGTGTAGAGGCGAGATGCAGTCTTTGTGATTCTGGTGTAGTGGAGAGGCTGCACCTAACAATCTTTCATAACACTGCAAGGTTTGCAATGGAATTAATTTTCACACGTAATACTAGTAATTCATCTTCGGCTTCTCGTTTTCTTCAAAGTTTTTCATTGGTCAAAATTATTTTGTTACTTGTGGGATATACTGTACTTCGAAATTTAAAGATTCTAACAAAGATACATTGCTTTTAAAGCTCTGACTTTCGTTTCACAATAAAATTTGTCACTAAAAGTCATGAAATTACAAAATTTAACTAAGCATCGCCATTCAACATCGATACACTGATGGATTAGCCGACAGTATGGACATCTATTCTATAATTAAGAAAACCGTTTACAAACATCTTACAATACTTATAGTTTAATTTAAATAATGATTTTTTTATAATCATTACAGATATAAAAGCGACAACCTAGCATATCACATCACTACAGATCCTTGAATAGATTTAAATCCTTCAGCGGCCCATGTTATACTTCACAACACTTAAAGAGTGATAGGTTATTAATTAAGTACGTAACTTACACAGGTGTAGTAGAGGTGAGGAAGAGACGTTCCAGCGGCAGGAATGGCGATATGTTTAGTGTTGATGGAGCAACTTCCTCCCCCTTCAGCGTCCCAGAGCACACTGAGGTCGTGCCGTTGTAGCCTGTAGGACCTACCTCACTCCCACAGTCCCACACCCCTGCCACTACCCGTTGTCCCACACCCCTGCCACTACCCGTTGTCCCACACCCCTGCCACTACCCGTTGTCCCACACCCCTGCCACTACCCGTTGTCCCACACCCCTGCCACTACCCGTTGTCCCACACTCCTGCCACTACCCGTTGTCCACACCCCTGCCACTACCCGTTGTCCCACACCCCTGCCACTACCCGTTGTCCCACACCCCTGCCACTACCCGTTGTCCCACACCCCTGCCACTACCCGTTGTCCCACACCCCTGCCACTACCCGTTGTCCCACACTCCTGCCACTACCCGTTGTCCCACGCTCCTGCCACTACCCGTTGTTCCACACCCCTGCCACTACCCGTTGTCCCACACCCCTGCCACTACCCGTTGTCCCACACCCCTGCCACTACCCGTTGTCACACACCCCTGCCACTACCCGTTGTCCAGCAGTCTCTTGCCACTACCCACACCTCTGCCACCACCAATTGTTCTCCCACATCCCTGCCACTACCCATTGTCCTACACACCTTTGCCACCACCAACACTCCAACACACCCACCACCACCCCAGTCACATCGACCACTTCACCATAATTAATGGAAAGTAGTTGAGACACCCAGGAATTGATTATGAAAAACTAGCTCACCTTTCTAGCTCCAGGTTACCATTATTATCTTCTTAATTGTCCAAGTCCCATTTAAAGACTTCTCGGTTAGCTTCTAGTGGTTGTAATCATAACCATAATATTTTTTAAAGGGGTAGACCGGTAAGCCAGCTGAAGGCCTCGGTCAGATCAAAAGCTACAGCTGCGAGTCATATGACTAATACCCGCCTCAGGAAATTTTGTCCTGTTTCCTGACAAACCTTACCTAACCTAACCTAGCTTTCCAGTTCCATGTAGACAATATGCAATGTACCACCTCAGATGAGAGGATATTAACTGATATTTACATAAAAGTCAGCCAGTAAGTACAATTAATCGACATGCAATTGAGAGAGTGGGCAAAGAAAAGTTTGAAGTTGCGAGGTATGATAGAAGATTATGGAAATTACCAGCTACCTGCAACTACATCAATACTAAGCCCAAGGTGAGCAGTCGACCAGGACAAGTTCAAAATAAAATGTAAGGCTAGCACTGAGGGAAAGCTAACCTAAATGCTGTGCAGACTATGAGCTTTCACATACTTGTGTGTTTCTACCTTAGTTTGAAATGAAGTCATTATCATTATCATTAAAAGTAGCCAGTAACTATCCGAGGGAATCTATTGATACAAGAGGCTTGGATCTAGAAATTAGACTGGGGTGAATTGCTGCCAGAATCCGTCTATCAATCACGGTATAACCTCAACAAGGACCTACAGATATTGAATGAATTCTAGTTTTCCCAGATCAATCGGAAGCTGAGGAAGATAATAACTTGAACATATTCAGTGATGCCTCATCATTAGCATATAGGACAATACCATATCTCGAAAATCAATATGTGGATAGACTGTGTGATTGAGTCCACTGTATTCCTGGGCATTGACTTCGACTAAGTTTGGGGACTTATTACTGCTGCTACTACTACCACCTCAAGTACTACAACTACTACTACTTCTAGTATTCCTACTACTGTTATATTATGCCTTGCACCTCACTCTAATGCCTATATACGTATACCCTCTGTGTTCATGTATTGTCTGTAACGGCTTGACAAAGCTCCTGGAGAGCGAAATGTTGCCACAACAAAATGTCGCATTAGTTGCACATGTGTCCTTTTATTATTGATACTCTGATCAACGGTACCCTAACGTTCTCTGTTTACGTTGGAGGGCGGAATTATGTATGGTTAAAATTAAATTGCAATACAAAATAATACGCTGTGGGGACCAAGGGCATTAGCTCAGCTTCAACAAAAATAGGGTAAGACAAACAAATTTGGTGAATACCGGCACAAAGAGCAGAGCTGTGCCTCTGTGCTTACACAGGAAGGCAGCCAGCCAGTATGTCAACATCTGGACTCCAGAGCTTAAATTGCTGTGTCAACAACCACTGCTGCTGCTGCCCACCGGTCCATCTCCCACCTACCCGTCCCTCTCCCATCCACAAATCCATCTCCCACCAACCCTTCCCTCTCCCACCCACTAGTCCATCTCCCACTCGCCTAACACCCATCCATCTCCCAGGTGTATGGTGTAGGAGGTAGGTTACTGAAAGCAGTGAAGAGTTTTTACGAGGATAGTGAGGCTCAAGTTAGAGTACATAGGAAAGAGGGAAATTATTTCCCAGTAAAAGTAGGCCTTAGACAAGGATGTTTGATGTCACCGTGGTTGTTTAATATATTTATAGACGGGGTTGTAAGAGAAGTAAATGCGAGGGTCTTGACAAGAGGCGTGGAGTTAAAAGATAAAGAATCACACATAAAGTGGGAGTTTTCACAGTTGCTCTTTGCTGATGACACTGTGCTCTTGGGAGATTCTGAAGAGAAGTTGCAGAGATTGGTGGATGAATTTGGTAGGGTGTGCAAAAGAAGAAAATTAAAAGTGAATACAGGAAAGAGTAAGGTTATGAGGATAAAAATATTAGGTGATGAAAGATTGGATATCAGATTGGAGGGAGAGAGTATGGAGGAGGTGAATGTATTCAGATATTTGGGAGTGGACGTGTCAGCGGATGGGTCTATGAAGGATGAGGTGAATCATAGAATTGATGAGGGGAAAAGGGTGAGTGGTGCACTTAGGAGTCTGTGGAGACAAAGAACTTTGTCCTTGGAGGCAAAGAGGGGAATGTATGAGAGTATAGTTTTACCAACGCTCTTATATGGGTGTGAAGCATGGGTGATGAATGTTGCAGTGAGGAGAAGGCTGGAGGCAGTGGAGATGTCATGTCTGAGGGCAATGTGTGGTGTGAATATAATGCAGAGAATTCGTAGTTTGGAAGTTAGGAGGAGGTGCGGGATTACCAAAACTGTTGTCCAGAGGGCTGAGGAAGGGTTGTTGAGGTGGTTCGGACATGTAGAGAGAATGGAGCGAAACAGAATGACTTCAAGCGTGTATCAGTCTGTAGTGGAAGGAAGGCGGGGTAGGGGTCGGCCTAGGAAAGGTTGGAGAGAGGGGGTAAAGGAGGTTTTGTGTGCGAGGGGCTTGGACTTCCAGCAGGCGTGCGTGAGCGTGTTTGATAGGAGTGAATGGAGACGAATGGTTTTTAATACTTGACGTGCTGTTGGAGTGTGAGCAAAGTAACATTTATGAAGGGGTTCAGGGAAACCGGCAGGCCGGACTTGAGTCCTGGAGATGGGAACTACAGTGCCTGCACTCTGAAGGAGGGGTGTTAATGTTGCAGTTTAAAAACTGTAGTGTAAAGCACCCTTCTGGCAAGACAGTGATGGAGTGAATGATGGTGAAAGTTTTTCTTTTTCGGGCCACCCTGCCTTGGTGGGAATCGGCCAGTGTGATAATAAAAAAATAATATATATATATATATATATATATATATATATATATATATATATATATATATATAATATATATATGTCACGCTGAATATGTAACACTGGCCAATTAGCAAGAACTCATTTAAAATCAAGTCCTTTCTAAAATTTTATTTTATACATTTAAAGATATATTTTTTTCATTAATGTTAATGTAAAAAATTTTAATTTTGCTCCAAAAGAATCTTAGAAAACTTACCTAACCTTATTACAACAAGAACAATTTATTTTAGCCTAACCCAACTAAATATATTTTAGATTTGTTTACAATAATTTAATACTAAACAAACATAGTGAAATATATTTTTTTCGTTAGGTTCAGAATGATTTTGGCGAAATTATTGCATACACAAATTTTCGCTTGCCCTATATGGCAAGATGAGCGTTGCTATTTAAGCCAAGATCGCAAGTTCTGCCTATTCGGCACGACATATATATATATATATATATATATATATATATATATATATATATATATATATATATATATATATATATATATATATATGCCAGATGACTGTGAAACAGAAACCTGTAACTGTTTTGCATGATGGTAGGATTGCTGGTTTCTTTTTCTGTCTCATAAACACGCTAGATAACGGATATCTTGCTACTCCTACTTACACTTTGGTCACGCTCACAGACACGCACATGCATATATATATACATACATCTAGGTTTTTCTCCTTTTTCTAAATAGCTCTTGTTCCTCTTTATTTCTTCTGTTGTGCATGGGGAAGTGGAAAGAATCTTTCCTCCGTAAGCCATGCGTGTCGTATGAGGCGACTAAAATGCCGGGAGCAATGGGCTAGTAACCCCTTCTCCTGTAGACATTTACTAAAAAAGAGAAGAAGAAAAACTTTATAAAACTAGGATGCTTAAATGTGCGTGGATGTAGTGTGGATGACAAGAAACAGATGATTGCTGATGTTATGAATGAAAAGAAGCTGGATGTCCTGGCCCTAAGCGAAACAAAGCTGAAGGGGGTACGGGAGTTTCGGTGGGGGGAAATAAATGGGATTAAATCTGGAGTATCTGAGAGAGTTAGAGCAAAGGAAGGGGTAGTAGTAATGTTGAATGATCAGTTATGGAAGGAGAAAAGAGAATATGAATGTGTAAATTCAAGAATTATGTGGATTAAAGTAAAGGGTGGATGCGAGAAGTGGGTCATAATAAGCGTGTATGCACCTGGAAAAGAGAGGAATGCAGAGGAGAGAGAGAGATTTTGGGAGATGTTAAGTGAATGTATAGGAGCCTTTGAACCAAGTGAGAGAGTAATTGTGGTAGGGGACCTGAATGCTAAAGTAGGAGAAACTTTTAGAGAGGGTGTGGTAGGTAAGTTTGGGGTGCCAGGTGTAAATGATAATGGGAGCCCTTTGATTGAACTTTGTATAGAAAGGGGTTTAGTTATAGGTAATACATATTTTAAGAAAAAGAGGATAAATAAGTATACAAGATATGATGTAGGGCGAAATGACAGTAGTTTGTTGGATTATGTATTGGTAGATA